CAGCAAATGTTAGGAACCACTGTTGTGTCTTTGTTGGGAGGAGATGGCTCCCCAGGAGAAATGTGGGACAAGCATCCTTAGTGCCCAGTAAGGAGCCTCCAGAGACAGTTGAAGGAGCTGAAGGAGAAACAGGAATTGGGAAAAGGGAAATGGGTTCAGAGGGAACTGGTGGGAGGGATGCCCCTCTTCCCTTGTTCTCCACCCTCTTTCTAGCAAGTATCCCTTCTCTGTATTCTCCATGTCCTGATGACTACAGGATTCTGGTTCCCCTTCGATGTAAATCTGTTAGGTGCCCACTATTTATCAGGCTCTGAACCAGGTCCTCTCACAACATCACTTCAGGCAATTCCTTTGTTGAACCTGAAGTACACAGAGTGGAGTCAACCCCTCCCTCAGTCATGGACTGTTAGCACCATTGCTTCCCGTCAGGTCCCTTTTCAATGCATTTTATTTTCACCTTTCATCATGATCTCTATTCTTATTGCCCCTCCTTACTGGAGGCATTTGCTTTAGGGTATCTAACAAATTCTCCTCCAATCAATGCTCTGTACATTTATTTAGATACATTCATCCACTCAACAAATTCACAGTTGTAGGTGTGGGGAATACAGCCAGGAGCAAAACAATAAAAAAGTCCTGCTTTCATGGAACTTACATCTTTTGGTGTGAAACAAATCATAAACAAGTAAAACATATAGTACCTTAAAAAGTGATAAGTGCTATGAAAAAAAAAAGAGCAGGGAGACCAGGTATGTTGTGGATATTTAGGAGTAGATATCAATTCCATGTGGAGAGAATAAGGGAGTCCTTGCTACAAATGTGCTATTTCACCAACTGTAGTAAAGGGAGAAACCATGTGGATATGTGGGATAGAAGTGGTGCTGTTATAGAGGACAACAAGTACAAAGGCCCTGAGGTAGGGTCTTGCCTGGTATGTTAGGAGGCCAGAATGGGTGGGAAGCCAATGGCTAGAGAAAAATGAGTGGGCAGAGAGAGAAACAGAAGGCTGAGAGGTATCTGGGTCAGAGACAAGTACTGTAAGCCTTTGTAGGCCTTTGGAAATGCAGACTTTGGCTTCTTCTCTGTATAAAAAGGGAAACCCGGGGCTCCTGGGTGGCACAGTTGGTTAAGCGTCCGACTTCAGCTCAGGTCACGATCTCGCGGTCCGTGAGTTCGAGCCCCGCGTCAGGCTCTGGGCTGATGGCTCAGAGCCTGGAGCCTGTTTCTGATTCTGTGTCTCCCTCTCTCTCTGCCCCTCCCCTGTTCATGCTCTGTCTCTCTCTGTCTCAAAAAATAAATAAACGTTGAAAAAAAAAATAAAAAAGGGAAACCAGTGGAAGGTTTTGAGTACAGGACTGATGTGACATTTTTAATACATATGTGTATATCAGCTATTTTTGGCTGTTTATAAATGTATATAAATGGAATTGTGTTGTACATCCTGCTTCTACTTTTGCTTCCTAACATTATTTCTGAGATCTACACATGTTGTTATTTGTAAATCTACTGTATTTGTGACTGTTGTGTATATTTCATTGTACACATATGGCACATTTTACTTCTATATTCCTCTAGTGACATATGCTGACATAGCTTCTAACTCCCTGCTACCACAAACTGTCCTGTGATGAACATGCTATGGGCCTCCTTATGGATTCAGGAGAGAGTTTCCTTGGGGTGTTTTCCATTGTGGGCTAAGAGGGTGTGTGCAATCTTTTTTTTTTTTTTTTAATTTTTTAATGTTTATTTGTTTTTGAAGGAGAGAGAGAGACAGAGTGTGAGTGGGGGAGGGGCAGACAGAGAGGGAGACACAGAATCCAAAGCAGGCTCCAGGCTCGGAGCTGTCAGCACAAAGTCCGACACGGGTATGGAACCCACAAACTTAGAGATCATGACCTAAGCCAAAGTCGGAGGCTTAACCGACTGAGCCACCTAGGACCCCCAGTCTCTTTAATTTTTCATTAACATTTTATAAGGAGTCTTTTTGTTTTTAATTTTTTTTTAATGTTTACCTATTTTTGACAGAGAGAGAGAGAGAGAGAGACAGAGCATGAGCGAGGGAGGGGCAGAGAGAGAGGGAGACACAGAATCCAAAACAGGCTCCAGGCTCTAAGCTATCAGCACAGAGCCCAACACAGGGGTTGAACTCACGAACTGTGAGATCATGACCTGAGCTAAAGTCAGACTCTTAACCAACTAAGCCACCCAGGCATCCCAGGTGTGTGCGTTCTTAATTCCACTAAGACTGTGCTTCAGGATGGTGGCCGCAGTTACACTACCACCAGCAGTGCATGGTGGTTTGTATCTTCTTTTGTTGTTGTTGCTTATTTTTTATTTTTTAAAATTTACATCCAAATTAGTTAGCATATAGTGAAGCAATGATTTCAGGAGTAGATTCCTTAATGCCCCTTACCCATTTAGCCCATCCCCCCCTCCCACAACCTCTCCAGCAACCCTCAGTTTGTTCTCCATATTTATGAGTCTCTTCTGTTTTGTCCCCCTCCTGTTTTTATATTATTTTTGTTTCCCTTCCCTTATGTGAATCTGTTTTGCCTCTTAAAGTCCTCATATGAGTGAAGTCATATGATTTTTGTCTTTCTCTTACTGACTAATTTCACTTAGCATAATACCCTCTGGTTCCATCCATATAGTTGCAAATGGCAAGATTTCATTCTTTTTGATTTGCGAGTAATACTACATTGTATATATATATACCACATCTTCTTTATCCATTAATCCATCGATGGACATTTGGGCTCTTAACATACTTTGTCTATTGTTGATGGTGATGCTATAAACATGGGGGTGCATGTGTCCCTTCGAAACAGCACACCTGTATCCCTGGGATAAATGCCTAGTAATGTAATTGCTGAGTCATAGGATAGTTCTATTTTTCGTTTTTTAAGGAACCTCCAGACTGTTTTCCAGAGTGGCTGCACCAGCTTGTATTCCCAGGTTTGTATCTTCTCATGGAATTTCATGTTGATCTAGTAAGGAAGTCAGGTAAGGTTCCTTGTGGATAAGGAAACTGGGGCTTAGAGAGATTAAGCAAATTACCCCAGTTTATACAGTGAGGAAGAAGATCCAGGGCTCATATCCAACATTTCTGACATAATGTTCATTGCTCTTACTTCTATAGTACTCAGCAATGCTTCTTCTAGGAATAAGATGAGGCATCCATAGGCAAAATATATATATATATATATTATATATATATATATATATTATATATATATTATATATATATAATATATATATATATATATAATTATTATTTGTTATTATATTTGAGGCTTGCATTTTTTGATGCCTGGTCTAAGTCAGTAAGCCTAGGACTCCCAAGTGTTTAGCACCAAGTACAAGGGGGTCTGTCTAGAGTACTTACTGTTTCAAAGCAAAATGTGTGGAATAAAACTATTTTCATTGTCTCATGAGGACTAGTTAATAGGCTCAAGTTGTAGTGGATGATTTTGAGGCTAGACATTCATAAAAACTAATTGTTTTTCCAAGTTTGGGGATTTGAATCATATTTCAATATTAAATTTTAGGTGGATTATATTAAGTACATATTGTTTGCTAGGTACTGAACTAACTACTTTATAGGCATCATTTAACTTACTGCTCACAACAACTCTATGAGGTATTTACTTTTACTCTCATTTGACTGTTGTAGAAACTAAAGCCCTAACAGGTGAACTAATTTGTCCAGAGTCATCCGGTATGAGATTGAGTTGTGATTTGAACATGAACCATCTAGCTGCAGAGCTTTACTCCTAACTACTAAATTGTGCTGCCTTCCTGTAAAGGAAGCTTTTAGAATCTCTTGTCTTTGAAATTGAAGACAACTTCTCATTTGGGGTGGATTAGATCAGTCACAGGAAGTACAGGGCTACTGAACAAGAATCTCCAGAAGGAGAGGATCTGAAGTTTGAAAATTTCCCCAGGTGTCTTTACTATCTCTCTCTCTGTCCCAAAGTGAGAACCTTTGCCTTAGGACATGCTACCTAGATTATAGGGCCTGGGCATGATGCCTTCAAAAAGTTAGAGCTTCTTTAGCTGGGTGTGGGTATTTGGTTGCCTGTAACCCAAATCAGCCTGATATTTAAAACAAGTGTCCTCAAATGCAAACATTCTTTTAAAAAATTAAGTTATTTATTGAGAGAGAGAGAGAGAGAGAGAGAGAGAGAGAGAGAGAGAGAGCAAACAAATGAGCAGAGAAGGGACAGAGAGAGAGGGAGAGAGAAAATCCCAAGCAGGCTTCATGTGGTTAGTGTGCAGCCTGATATGGGGCTTGAACTTCAGAACCATGAGATTATGACTGGAGTCAAAATCAAGAGTCACACGCTTAACAGACTGAGCCATTCAGGTGCCCCACAAACAATTCTTTATCACCCTGTGTTGCTCATACCTGCCATGAATGATGTGCGGTTAAGGTTTCATCAGTTGGTTTTCCCTTCACACTTTTCATTTTGCTTGCCTTCTACAAGGAAGGTAATTCCATTTATATCCTTACTTGAGCCAGGATTATAAAGACTGCTTGGTTACAAAGTATGTATCTCAAAGTCAATTCTGGATTAAATTCTGGATTATGTGCTCTTTTAGGTTTCTCTTCTCAGTTTGTTCATTTGTTCAATAAATATTGAGCACCTAACTCACAGTCTCATAGAGGACATACACAGGCAGTTGACCTTGAGTTTTGCTACATTAGGGTAAATAGCACATGGGGGAAGCCTGGGTGTTATGATAGCACATAGGACGGGCAGCATACGGGTCAGGATAGGCTTCCTGGGGAAGAAACTTCTGAGCTGGAAACTAGAAGAGAGGTGGAGCTTACCTAAGTGAAGGGACAAAAAAGCATTAGAGGCACAGGGAAGAGTTTGGATGTTATATTTTGCAGCTGGAGCAGGAACTGGGCATGGGATGAGGCTGGGGGAATCAGCACAGGTTAGATGATGAAGAAAGGAATTATTATGAAGGAAGAGCAGTGGGGAACCACTGAAGGGTTTCAAGCCTCAGGGTGGGTGGGGACACGTCAATCATATTCATAATTTAGAAGGTTCCATGAGTTAAGTATTCACTCTCCTTATCTATGTTGTGTGCTTGTTGGTAAATCATAACATTGGAACTGGTAGGTGGCAAATAAGGAGTGTAGATGGATTTGTACACAGAAGGTCTGACCCATTTCCCAAGGGTTCATTTTGATTATATACAGAGAAGACTTTTCAATTTTGACTTAATATTTCTATTAAAACCTCTGACAACATTTCCTAAAATTCTCTCAAAATAGGAGCCTGAGTATGGGGGAGAGTGGGGGCTGCATGACTTTGTTTTCTCTGTTCTCCACTTCTCATTTCTGGGGCATTGCTGTGAATTGTTCATCCAAAGCCTTATTCCCCTTGAGAAGAGGCCCATTTGAATAGCTGCAGTGGAGGAGATCACAGACAGTGTAGGGTGTTTATAGAACACAACGTGGCCAGGGAGGAGACTGTCCGTAGAAGCGAGGTCTCCTTCTCTCCTGGAACCCAAAGAGGGAGGAGACAGAAGGACTTGTTTTGGTTTTGAACTACTGAGCTAGGTGACATACTTCTTTTCTCCCTGCCCATCATTACTGTGGACATAAAAGTTATAGTGAATTTTGTCTGGTTGCTTTGGGTGAGGTTTATTGAATGTCAGAATTCATCAAGTGACATTTCTGGTTCTTCTCCCTTCTTACTAATGGATGCTTGATTGACTGCTACACCCAATTCTCCAGTGTTTCTTCACAAGACAGCCTGTTCCTCTCATTATTGCAGGTAGTTATGAAGGCCCTGCCCCCTTTGCCCTCTTCTCCTATTTTCACAGCACCCCATTGGTATAGTTAGGTAAAGGGAAGAGTAGGACTGTACACACTTTACCATCAGTACAGCTAAGTGGATGACACAGAATGGGGAAAAGGGGGACCAAAGTGACATCTGACTTTGGGTACTGATTTGGAGGCAAAGAGTTTTAAGACAGAGGAACCAATATTTGTATTTCAAATTCAAATGTAATTTAAAAAATGGTTCTGTAATTGCAATGACACATGAATTAATGTGTCATATCTCATGCCCAAGCACCACGTAATCATCCTGTGTGTGAATTATTGCACAATACATTCATTCCCTGTTGTGACATACAGCTTAATTAGTACATGAAGCTACATGAGTTAGACGAATGTAAAGGGATTATGTCCCGTGGTGTGCAATAAAGGAGAATGTTGGGAGGTATTTGGCACTGTTTCTGAGGGGAAATCAGGGTTGATTTTTCTATGATGTCTTTTGGTTTCAATTTCAGTGATACTTGGGCCGCAACAGGTGACATGGGATTTCTGAGCTACAGTTGGTTGGTTGAACACCACCATTAAGTAAATATTTCTTGTTTAGGCATTATTAAGGGTCAAATGAAATACAAAGCAGCAACTTGAAGCGTGAGTAATGGACCTCGGCAGCCCCAAGTCTACTTGGCTTCACTGAGTCTCACTGAACCTGATCCCAGATTCTCCTCCCTGGGCTTGCTGCAGCTCTCTGATCCTGGAATCCTCTTCAGGTCCAGCTAGGATGCTGCGTCAGGCACTTCATAGATTTGGTCAAAAACTGGTACGAAGACCTACACTGAAGGAACCGGTGGCTAAGGATGACCCACGGAGAAGCCTGAACACTCTGGATTTAGTGGCTCGGGTTGTGGGCCGCACAGTGGGTATAGGTGTGTATATCCTGGCTGGTGAGGTGGCCAGAAATCAAGCAGGACCATCCATTGTGATCTGCTTTTTGGTGGCTGGCCTATCTTCTGTGTTGGCTGGGCTGTGCTATGCAGAGGTTAGCGCCCGAGTTCCCCATTCTGACTCTACATATCTCTACAGCTTTGTCACTATAGGTGAACTCTGGGCTTTCATCACTGGCTGGACCCTCATACTCTCCCATGTTGGTGATAAAGCCATTGTGGCCCGTGCATGTATCTTAGCTTTTGACAACCTGCGTGGGAACAAGATCTCTCAGACCCTGCGCGAGAGCATCTCACCACATGTTCCCCGTGTCCTTACAGAATATGTAGATATCTTTGTTGTGGGTCTTGTGTTTTTGCTCATAGAATTCCGGAATCTGAGGTATGTTTGGTCTTTCCCAGTTACCAAAATGGCCACATTGGTGAAACTTTTGGTTCTCAGTTTTGTCATCTCTGGCTTCATTAAGGGGGACCTGCACAACTGGAAACTCACAGAAGAGGACTATGCAATGGCTGGACTCAATGACACCTCAAGCTTGGGCCCTCTGGGCTCTGGAGGATTTGTGCCTTTTGGCTTTGAGGGGATTCTCCGTGGAACAGCTACCTGTTTCTATGCATTTATAGGTTTTAGCAGCATTTTTGAAAAAGTTGAAGAAGCCCAGAATCCCCAGCATTCCATCCCCATGGGCATTGTCATTTCACTGTTCATCTGCTTTTTGGTGTATTTTGGTGTCTATGCAGCACTTACACTTATGGTGCCTTACTACAAGCTTCGACATGGGAGCACCTTGCCTCAGGCATTACTCCATATTGGCTGGGCCCCTGCCTACTATTTTCTAGCTTTTGCATTTCTGTGTATTGTTTCTGCCAGGCTCTTGGGCTTTATGTTTCCCATACGTCGAGTATTACACAGGATGGGACAGGATGGTCTCCTGTTCCCTGTCCTTGAAAGAATCCGTTCCCGCCCATTCATCCTTATCATGACCACTGTGATCTTGAGCATTATTACAGCAATCATGGCAGTCTTCTTTGGGCTCACTGATCTCCTGGACCTTAGGTCAGTTGGATCCCTGATACCTCACTCCCTGGTTGCTACTTCCATTCTCATCCTCAGGTATCAGCCTGAGGCAAAGGAAGGGGAAAATGAATCAGAGGTGCTGGAGGAGAATGGTCATATAGTAGAGAGGCTGACTTTACAGGGACTACTTTTTCCAGGCAGCCCCACCCCCACTCCACTCTCTGGCTGGGTTGTCCGTGTTTGCTCCGCACTGCTTGCTCTGCTGCTAATTCTTCTTTGCCTGGTGCTGGCCCAGTGGCCAGTTCTGCTTTCTGGAGACCCAGTGTGGATTTCAGTGGTTGTCGTGCTCCTGGTGCTCATCACTGGGCTCACTGGGGTCATCTGGAGACAGCCTCAGGGACCTTAGGGTCCCTGCTCTGCCTCTGCTCCCACTACTGAGCATCTTCATGAATGTTTGCCTTATGGTGCAGATGACAGCTGCCACCTGGGCCCTATTTGCTGTCTGGATGTTGATTGGGTTTGCTATCTACTTTGCCTATGGGATCCAGTACAGTCTGGTCTCTAACTCCGCTTAAGTTAGGGCCAAAAGTGTAGACCTTGAACTAAGCAGTACCAGTACATATTTGGTTTGACATCATCACACCTGAATGCAGTCTTGTCTCTCTGCACAATATTGGAGAGTCTCTTGACTGCATGGAAAGCTAGGCCTCCAAAGGGATGTTGGTGGGTGAACACTAATAGAGCCCAGTGTGTATTGTGAAGGATGTGTCTTTGCTCTTTCTCCTTTTTTTTTTTTTTTAACCTGTCTACTTTTGAATTGTGTCTGTAGCTGCTTACTCGCTTTCAAATATTATTAAAAGAAATTACAAAAAGTGTTTTTGTTTTCCTTGGTTGAGTATCCAGTAGGGTGCCTTACTGGCTCGGTCAGTACAACATGCAACTTTTTATCTCAGGGTGGTGAGTTTGAGCTCCACATTGTATATAGATGTTATTTAAAAAAAATGCACAGCAGAATTACTGGATCAATAGGTGGTTTCATTTTTAATTTTTTGAGGACCTGCATACTGTTTTCCACAGTGACTGCACCAATTGACATTCCCACCAACAATACATGAGGGTTTCTTTTTCTCCATATCCTAGACAATACTTGCCTATCTTATCTTTCTTTTTTTAAATTTTTTAATGTTTATTTATTTTTGATAGAGAGAGAGAGACAGAGCATGAGTAGGGGAGGGGCAGAGAGAGAGAGGCAGACACAGAATCTGAAGCAGGCTTTAGGCTCTGAGCTGTAGGCACAGAGCCCAACGCAGGACTCGAACTCAAAGACCATGAGATCATGGCCTGAGCCGAAGGTGGATGCTCAACCAACTGAGCCACCCAGGCACCCCTATCTTATCTTTCTGATTTTAGCCATTCTGATAGGTTTAAAGTGATATCTCATTGTAGTGTTAATTTATATTTCCCTGATGGTTAGTGCTGGTGAACATCTTTTCCAAGTGTTTATTGACCATCTGTATGTGAAAATAGTATGGAGGCTCCTCAAAAAATTAAAAATAAAAATTACCCTATAACCCAGCAATTGCACTACTAGGTATTTATACAAAGGATACAAAAATTGCTGATACCAAGGGGCACATGCACCCAATGTTTACAGCAGCACTATTGACAATAGCCAAAATATGGAAAGAGCCTGAATGTCCATAGACTGATGAATGGATAAAGATGATTTGGTTTATATATACAATAGAATAATACTCTGCAATAAAAATGAATGGATTCTTGCCATTTGCAACAATGTGGATGGGACTAGAGTGTATTATACTAAGTGAAATAAGTCAGTCAGAGAAAGATAAATATCATATGATTTCATTCAGATGTGGAATTTAAGAAACACAGCAGATGAACAGAGGGGAAGGGAAGGAAAAATAAGACAAAACTATAGAGGTAACCAAACCATAAAAGACTCTTAAATAGTGAGAGCAGACAGGGTTGCTGAGGGGAGGTTGGTGGGGGAACACACATGCAACTTGTACTCAGACATTCTCTCATTTACCTTCATTGTGCCCCAACCTATAGTCAGGAGCTTGGAAAAGGGGTAAGGTTAGGTAAATATATTCATAAAGCACCACATTCAAAGTCGTGTGTGTGTGTGTGTGTGTGTGTGTGTGTGCATATTATATGGACATACCTGTTTGAATTTGAGTAGAAATAGGCACCAAGGTGTGGGCTGTGTTTATCTTGGTAGATCTATAAACATGAGCATATTATTTAGATTTTTAGGGTATGGTGTGTGTGTGTGTGTGTGTGTACACAAATCTTGAAGGAGTTTAACTATCTATAAGAAATTGGCTACCTTCCTTCCCTGACAATAGTTGGTGTGTTTGTACCAAACCCTGATATTTATTTTCATCACATCTCAAGGGAACCTCAGTGAGTTTTCTTTCTGAGAAGTCTATGGCTACGATGATGAGTTGCTTGGAGTCCCTATGAATCTGCTACAATCAGAAGAGTTTTGCAGAGAAAGAGAAACAGAAACCCCAAGGAAACACCCTGCTGTTGTTTACTTTCTAGCCTAATACTTGTATGCACACCACTCATGTAACCACCTCCCCTCTCCTAGAACCCCTCATGGAAGGTACTAAGAGAAGACATTTTATTTATTTCTTTGCTTGCAAGTAGGACTCTCTATCTGAGCTATCCCAGAAAGAGGAGAATTGAAAATTATACCAGTGAAGGAATCTAGAGTTGAGATTGTGAGATCAGGCCCTTTGTGAAACTAACTTCATAGAAAGCAATGGACTCTGATAGAAGCAAGGATGGTAAGAAGAGTTGGTTGTCTCTGTCTACTTCTTTAGAAAACCTGAAACAAAGCTCCTAGAAGCAGGAGGCAGGACGACCTGCACATGATTTGGAGGTAAACACAGTACAGGAATCTTCTCCCCCACTTTCCAATGCCAGTACTTGGAAGACTATTGTATGAGGATTTTATGACAAACATTACTTTACATTTGACATTTCACAGCATCTCTTCTCCAGAGAAGGAGGAAATATAGATATTGACAATTTGCATCAGTAGATTGAGGAAACCCAGGTATGCAAATTATCTGACTTAATTTGTGTAGTTTATGCTTTTCTGTTCTTTGTGTTCTTCTCAGTAATGAGAGGAAGAAATTCTTTCATTGTTAACAAAGAACATAGTGGAGGGGAGAGAGGATATGAGAGATATATAGATGGAAGTATTATGGGTATCCTGTCCCATATGAACCCTACACCCCTTCCATAAAATCAGGTGGAGAAGAAGTGGGGATAAATGGAACCTGAGCTAGAACCCATGTCCCGGCTCCTGTCTTCTGTATTAAAGGCCTCCAGCTTCTTGAATTTCACTGGTCCTTGTATTTCACTTTCTCATTATGAACAGTAGTTCAATATCAAGTGATGCCCAAAGTCAAGAAGTCCTTCCTAGTAGCTATGTCTTTTCTTTGTATATCCATCCTCCCTATCTCTGACTACTGAAATGATACACAATCATCATCGTCCAGTTTAAATGTTACCTCCTGCCCAAGCCTTCCTAGATAATCCTAATCAGAAGCAATTCATTTCCTTTAAACTCCTCTACTCATTTGTGTTAGTCTTACCATAGCTGTGTTTTTGTACGCTGTCTTCATTTGTGGTTACCCTGTGTCCTCCCTTTATCCCTCACTCAACTGTATGCTTCTAGAGTGAAACTGTTTGTAATCTCTCCACAGTGTTTAACACAGAGCTAAAGAATGGTTAAATAACTGTTGTGTATGGTTCACACTTATGGGAAAGAGGCCATGGGTAGAGATGTAGAATAAAGGCTTTATGAATGTTGATTAAATATATTGTTAATAGAGATATGGACATCATGCTTTCAGGTAGAGATCGTATTAGCAGGAAATGTTTATCCTACAAATAGATTTATTCTCATAATATACATTTATTCATTATTAATTTTTTCCCCTTATTCAAATATAGGGTTTTTTTTTCCTCCTGGGAAATGGGCAATAAACAAGAAAACAAACGTTAAAATAATTCTGGACTGTGATGAACACCTGAAGGAAATAAACAGGGTCTTATGATAAAGAATCAGAGGGATTTTTCTTTAGATAGGAAGGTTAGGAAAGGCCTTTATGATCACTGTTACATATTTACCTGACTATGATTATGGCTTAATTCAATTTCTAACCTGAGGATCAATAACAAAAAAAAAATCGATAACAGAATGAGAATAACAGCCTTACCACCAGGAGGCATATTTGTGAACCCAAACTTAGAATTGGTTCTTTCTTTGATCCAACTTCCAACCTCCCCCCTGCCTTGGGAAGAGGGCAAGTCAGGCTCTCCCCTTGCCTCAGGATATACCCTGGTACCTCTTCTCCTGCCAAGGAGTTGGCAAGCAAAACAGGTGTTGAGAGCTTTGATCTTGCTAGACACTTGGAGACAAATCAAGGTAGAAGCCTCCGAAATAATGCTTCAGGATGTGAGAAGCTGGGGAAAAGATGGAGACAGAAGTATGCAAAAGGAGAAGCTAATTGCTGTCACAGAGACTCCCTTTTACCTTGGTCTTAGTGGATTTTGGGCTCTGTACTTCTTGGGGGAATTGGTCACGGCTCTCAGACATTTGGGAAAGGGGAAGATATCCCCTAGTGACTTTAGAGACAACATCCACCCTTAGTCATTCCTGGATCCCTGCTCCAAGGCTGAAGACAACCACAGCTTTGAGGAGCAAGCCTTCTGCCAGTATCCCAGAAGGCCCAGGACGTTCTTTCATTTCCGGGGTCTTCCTTTGTCTACTTCCCTGCTGCCCTTCTCCTGGCACAAGTTGGTAGGATTAGTTTCTGTCTCTTGCAGAACAGTGGTGACATTAGGAATGGCTTGGGAGTGAGTAAGAAGAATCCTGGAGTTTTTACACCCACTAACCCTTTCTTGACTATGCTTCCTGTTGGGATACCATGTTTTGGTTGCTAGCTCAAGAGCAATAGCTCCCTGTCTCACAAAGGCCTTAACCTCCTTGGTCATACTGAGGGATACCTCAGACTGTTGAGAAGGTGTTATAGAAATTACCATAAGTTCCTCTAATTGAAGTTGTAGTCCTCACTTCTCTTCAGCCTTCCCCCACCCCACTGGGACCAGCTTCTCTACAAGTGGTATCCTACACACTATAAAGGCTGTACTTCTTCAAGAAGAACCCTACCTCTCTGCTCCATAGTGCCCAAAGAACTCACATTGCTTTGTTTTGAGAGATACTTATTGGAGGAGGAAAAGCTATACTCCTTTTAGCTTCTCAGGGTGCACACAAGTCACATTTCTGATCTTCAGACATGGACAGGCAGTTTGGAGTAGTGGTACCTAGAGATCTTGAATTCAAGCAAGCAGGTTCTTGTCCAAGTGGGTCCACTTGCTGTACCTGACAAGGGATGTCATGCTATGGGTGCAGGGAAGTGAAGTGGCAAAGAATGAACATTGCTTGGAGGAGGAAAAGGAAGAGTGAGGCCAGAACACATATGAAGGCAGTGGAATGGGGAAACTGACTCTTGAACCCAGGTCCTTTCTGGAGTCTCGCTCTCAGGGGCAGCAGCATTACTGGCTCCCTTCTGAGGCAGACAGGATAGGGTATGTGACTCAAGGCAAGCCAGGGCAGATTCTGGTGGGAGAGCTGACATTAATGCAGGTGAATATGGACAGATTTTCCCAGGAGCTTTGTTTTAAAGATAGAGAGGAGAGGATGGGAGACAGAGGAAGGAAGAGGGTCCAAGTATCATCTCTGGGTTCACTGGATTAGGAGATGAGAGAGAAGGGAAGACTTTAGTCAGAATCATGTCTCCATTAACTGCTTTGCTTTCCTACTTGATGC